GCCCCCAGACTCATGTTACTGGAAGGCACAGAATTTTCATCTAGAATGGAAATCTCAGTGGCTTAAATTTCTAGTAGTTTTCCAAAAGCATAAGCACACACCTCAGTTATTTCTAGTTCTTTTTTCAGATAACTCCATTTTCTCTTATTGATTATAGCACAAAACTAAAAGATCACTCCCCACTTTTTCTTCTTTCTGACATTTTTTTCTCTGACTCCTTAATTCCTACTATTCCTCCCACCCCACCCTGTCGAGACTCCTGGAGTTGAAAAATTCTCTCATCCTGCCTACCCCTAGCTCAAAGAGCAAAATGCTTTACAAAATTAAGTGAGCATTTGGGATTTTTAACTTGATTTTTATCTTTTCATTCAACCAGAGGGGTACGTGTGTGGGAGCTGCACTTGTCAACTAAAAGCAATTTCTCTGCCTCCTTGGGGACTGAAGTGTAATCGTAGCTCTGTCTTTCTGGTGTCAGGATGAAACTTGCATTTTCCGGAGTGGTGTCAGCACAGTGACAGACAGCTCCTGAGATCTAGCAAAGAGTACTGGAAAAGAATGGGCAAGGGGAGAGAGATGTGGAAGCTGGTCTCAGCTCATCTCTCCTCCCCTGGGTGACGTTGGGCTAGTCACTTATTTTGCCTCACTTTTCTAACTTTAAAAAGGTGGGAATAATTTTTTCCCATTTCTATCTCACAAAGATGGTGCCAGGACTTTGTCAGGCTTTGGTGATATGAAAATGTTTGGAAGTAATGGAGCTACAGAAGAAAAAGTAACTGCTATGGAAGCAGTATATCCTAAGAATGCTGTTAAGTAGCTAGAAAGGAATTCAAGTTTTCTTTGTACAACCCCATTTGAGAAATGAGGGAACACTTCTGAGGTTCAAAGAAGTCTCACAAAGGTCCCCCATGATTTCAATGATATGTTCACCATGAGCCCAGCTAAATCTTTCCCAAACCGAGAAGCAGGGAGGCAGTGTCTTGAGGTCCTGGAGCCTGGAGTTCCCTTTAGAGAGTACACATGGTCCCTGTGTACTCCATGTGGACCTTTTGATAGTATTTCTCAAAAGAAGGTGTTGGAAGGCAGGGTTGCTACCTAGCCAATTCCCTCCATGGTCCCCTGGTGGGGTACTTTGTTATCTCACTGCTGAAAATGCAGAGACTTCCATAACAACCTGCAGAGGGAAGTGGGCAGAAGGACTGAGCTTTCCCATTTTATAGAGGAGGAGCCTAAGGCACAGGTTGGGAAGCAGACATACTTAGATTCACCCAGCCAGTCAGCCTGTGAGTCCAGCCTTGCTCCTGATATTTTAACTGCTCTTTCCACTGTGTTTCAGCTGTCTCTTGCCTGACACAAAGAACCCAACAAGTAGGAAGTTCAAATGAAATAATCTGACTGGGAAGTACTATGTAGACATATACATAAGGATTCTTAGAAAATCCAAATGGTTGACCTATATGGAGTATGCTCATTTTGAACACACCTAGACCCTGTCAGGAGTCAAGTTTTAAGGTTTGATCAATTTCCCATGCTATGTATTTCCCCATGCACCCAAAGGAAGTAGAGTGGGATTAAAGTGATTCATTTCCCCAGATGGTTGCCTCAGTGTTCCTTGTAGCTGGCGTGCAACAGGAAGAGATGTTGTGGAGGGTTTGCTGGCATGGACTTCTTTCCTTTATATTAAAGTATCTCCAACTTTAGTGGGCATAAAGGCCCTTATGGAGAGTCTGTTAAAAATGCTATTTTCTGGTCCCCATAACCAGAAATTTTTGTTCAATAAGACTGGAGTGAGAGGAGGGAATCTGTGTTGTTACACGACATTCCAAGTAATTTTGATACATCTGGTTCAATGGACCATACTTTGGGAAACACTGATCCATGACAAAGTTTAAAAGCTTCTGATTCCTAGAGTCCCATTTAATTAGCAATCCTTTGCCTGGGTGCCAAGCACTTTGGGGCTTTAGGAAAAAAGATAAGAAGGTTTGAAGCCTACCTTTTCAAGGCCAACAAGCCCCCAGATTGACTTCATCATTATGGCCAAAGACCTCTAGGCAGATAATGACCTAAGTTACAAGCAGCGTGCTTGGTTCTTAATTGAAATTACAATGGGAGACCTTTAAGATGCAAAAAGCTGTCTAGCTCTAGGCTTTGGACTGTCAGGGTGAGGATAAAGATGCCCAAAGTACGCTTTGTGATCACATACCTCAGGATGAGAGGATGTAGTTGCAGGCTCCTGGTTGTAATTGCAGCAGCTTCCTGGCTGCTTGATGGGGGCACTAAGGATCCCTGCATCCTTGGGAAGGGGGAGCCATAAATGGTTATATGCCCCTGCACAGGAAGCAAGTTCTGCATTTTACTCACAGACCAACTTCCTCAACTTTTTCTGGGTCAGCAAAGCCAGCCCAAGTGCCCTGTGCCACTAGCACAACCCCAACCTAAAAGCCCCAGTCATTCCCCTGTCTAGCTTAGTCCTTTATTCAGCCGGGACAAAGTCATAGATTTTTTTCTATGAGTAGTGTTCTTTTTCTAAATCAAATCCAGAAAATAATATATGTTTATTAAAAAAAATGGGAAAATGCTAAAATATGAAAATAATAAAATAGTTAAAAATTACCCATAATTGCATTGCCTAAATACAATCACAATTAAGATTCTGGTGTGTTTCTTTTTAGCCTTTATTTCCTATGTATAGGCTTATTATTTGTTTGCAGTGTTTATATTACAGTGTGCACACATTTTGCATTCTGCTTTTTATCATTTAAAAGTATCATAAATGTATTATCGGATTATCATATAAGCTTCCAAATCATACACTTAAAAATAATTGCACAATAATTCATTGAGCGAATCAACATTATTTGCATAACTCAATATCTGGCACCTAGAGGACATTTGATAAATATTTGTTGAATGAATTAAGGGATTGATGGATGAATGCATTCTCCTATTATGTGACATTTAGTTAAGGATAAACATTTTCAAAGGGAATTTAACACTGAGTGATTAAGTGGCAGAGTAAGCAGGTCAAAGAAAAAGTAGAGGGGAGAACTGCTAACCTGATTACTAAATAACTTTGTTTTAGAATTCCGATCTGTATATTTCCCTTTTTCTTTTCTTTTCCAAAAAAGTAGATATTAAATACTTTGGTCTGCCTGGAACTTATTCATAACTATTAATATCCTCATTTTACAGATGAGGAAACCAAGCCTAAAAGAGATTAATAACCCTCCCAAGATTACAAGCTACTACATAGTAGAATTCAGCTTCCAATCTAGTTTTGAATGTCCTTAGCTTTGTTTATTTCACATTACATCTCTTGAGAAAAAGGCAACAAAGGATAGCTGTCATGAGTTTGTCCCTCAGGCAGAGCTGCTCTAGAAGCAGGGACACTTCAGTTACTGAGGACCCTCGGAGTATTGGCCCAGGCAGCCTTTGTGCCATGAGGGAGCCGGAAAAAAAAAAAGAAGAAGAAGAAGTAGCTCATTCAGTTGGGAAAAAAAGGAACCCATTGAGGCTATTTCAAAAGCTGGTGCTGGATAAGCTCCTGGGACGAAGTTAGGCTGAGATTTCAATATCTATAGGCTGAAACTGGGCATTTCTAGATGTCAGACTTGTTTGGCTTGGACGACTCAGTATTTGTAAAGCAGAAATTGGTAAAAAAAAAAAAAAAAAAAAAAGCAGGTCTGATGAATGTTTGTTATCTTTGATTGCTTTTAGAAAACAGAGAAAACTCGAAATGATTTAGAAATTAGTGCAAAGGCAGAGAGGTACCATGTTTCCCAGAAAGGAAGGAAAATGAGTGGAAGGCCTTTAAACTCTGACTACAGCTCTGCTTTTCTAAGAATTGCATGGCAAAGTATAGGCAATTTTTCCATTTTATGTGCCCCTTTTGCAGCATTAATGCTAATATCAGTGGTTAGCAAAGCAAATGTAATAACTGCTCTCCCCAAAGGGCTCGTGATTGCTGACAATCGAGCTGTTGAAAGAGAATTTTCCATATTTCTTTCTACCTCCTCACTAGCATTTTGATCGACAGAGCCCCATTCTCCCAATGGAGGAAAACAAGGCATGGAGTCACATCTGTACAGCTACCAATGGAGAATCAGGAGAGAAATTAATTTGGGCCCCTGGGCTTGAAGAGAAAAGAAAATTTTGTTTAGAAGCCCTTCCTGCCCAATATGGTCCACCTATGGGGCTGTTTCTACCCCAGGATTTGGGGGGCAGGGCTAGTTTACCACCACCCAAGGTCCAAAACACTGAACCAGCTGTGGCATATGCCCCAATATTTGTTTAAAATTAAAAAATACAAAGCCATAAAAGAAGTGCAAGAAAATCCAACACAGTACCACCTACCATTGAAATATCAAATTCTTTCTAAAAATAAATGTTGATCCCCCTCCTATACCAGTGCCCCAACAGAAGTATAGGCAGTGGAATCTGTAAGACAGCAGCAACTGGGGGGCACCCAGCATTTAAGCCCACTTGACACTGCATTCTTTTATCTCAGTAGGTGATCAACCCTCTCAAAACAAAGGTCCCCAGGAAGGAAAGCATCTCCCTCTTCCCTACAGGCTTCCCAGGGCAGGGGCAGTAAAATTACTCTCAGATTCTGAGCTCCTTGGGGTGGAAGTAGGGGGCAAAAATCATTTCTCCTACTCACATTCTTGGTCTACTAGAATAGAGCAGTGACTTAAAATCAGACTTGGAGCTACCCAGGGCTGAGGTGATGCCTCCCCTTCGGATTCAAGGTTCCAGGGACAGACACCGCTTCTTGCTTAGTGTGGGCCTCCTGAGGGCTGAGATAACATCTCCGCTAAACTGTAGACTTTTCTAGAGCTGCTATACAGTCTCACGCTCAGATCTGAGGTTCCCTGGGACAGGTGTGCCAGCTCGCCTTCAAATTCCAGCTTCTGGGGACAGGCTTATTTCATGTGCCCGATTAAGGACGCCTGGCACGGGGCGGGGGCCAGAGACCTTCCCTCCCTCTGAGATTCGGGGCTCACCAGGGCTGAGATGGCATCTCCCCTTACCCTCTGGGCTCCCTGGGGTAGGGGCAGGGTCCTGCCCTCAGAGTCAGACCTTCCCGGGACAGGAGCTGTGTCTTGGCCTCCCTCCGCGTGGGGCAAGGGGCTGTTGGACAAGCGGCCTCTCCTCCAGCGGGAGGGGGGGCTCCCCTGAGGCCCTGCCCCCTTTGTGACATGCTCGAGGTGTCCGGTGACTCTTAGCTGGGTGCAGGGTGCGGCCCAGGGCGTGGTCACCAGGGGCTACTTAGGGCGGCCCGTGCGGGGGACGACGCGGAGGTCAGCTGCGAGCTGCCGGCACTCGGCGCGGGTCATGGCGTGGATACTGGACTGCCTTTTCGCGTCGGCCTTTGAGCCCCGCCCCCGCCGTGGTGAGTGGGGCCCACCGAGTCGGGGGGCTAGGGTGCTCCGCCCGGGGGTAGGGGCGGCCAGAGGCTGCAGCCCCGGCTGGGCTCCCTGGGCTTGGCTCACCGACCCCTCGCCTCCCTTCCCGCTGGCTTTTAGCTAATTGTTCCTGGCTCAAGGGAATGCCCCGTCGAGGCCCCGCATAAATCACCAGCTTTGCCGGGAACCGCCAGCAATCGCGCTAATGGCTCTGCGCGGGGCAAGCTCAGGGGCGGAGTCCCTGGCTCAGTCGCCTACAGGGACAGCCAGAGCCTTGGGGCCAGACACTTAGGAGTGCTGTTCTGCAACCCAAGGGCCCTAAAGGCCTAAGGATGAACGTCCCTGGCAGAAGTAGCCAGGCTCCTGGGACCCCGAAGAAGGAGGTGGGGGTTTCTTTTGCTTTGAAGCTTGTCGCCCTGTTCCAATGTCAACCACAGAATATCAGCACCCCTTAGAGTCATCGAATTCAGCTCCTTCATTTAAGAGATGGTGACATTGAAGCCCAAAGATGGGAAAGGCCTGCCCAAGGTCACCCAGAAAGTTGGCAGCACATCTGGGTCTGCCAACTGCCCACTGACCCAAACTGCCCAATGGCAGAGGCCTGGAGTCTTTAGTCTGGGTCTTAGCTTGAGTACTTGAGATCAACGCTTGGTTCCCCTATTCCTATGGAATTGAGAGCATAAGCATTCAAAGATCACAGCACGGATGTAAGTATGTGGGTCACATTTCACCCCTTTCCTGGAACTGGTTCTACAAAGTACATTTTAGAAACTTATAATTTTTTCCTCCTTAAAGTTTCAGGAGACTGATATTTTCTTTTTGAGATTCCCTAGGACCCCCACCTACACTGTCCTTCACTCCCCCTTGATAAGCCCCACCCCCTGCAGCCTGCCACCTGCCCCCACAGCCACCTGTTTTTCCATAGTCTCCACCTCCAAAATCTATATTGGTTAGAGTGCGTCATTGGTCACCAGCCATAGACCAAACCTGGAGTTGTCTCCTCTTTCCTCTGCCCCCTCACGGGCAGGGGAGGGGAGGTAGGGAGAGGAGGGGCCTCAGCAACCTAATTCAGCAGAGATCTGTTTTTAGTCCTTGCCAGCCCCAACACCCTGCTGAGAACCATCCTAGGATTTTGACCTCCTGCTTAGAGACTACAGCATGCTCTACCAGTTCAAGCACAGTCTCTGACCAGCCTCAAGGTCTCTGAGAAGGAAAGATATGTGCATACACACAGATAATTTAATATTTTCTTTTGTACATTTTTTAAGTTTATGCGATCCTCTGAGTCAAAAAATAAGGGAGTTCGATAAAATACGTCTTAAGGCCTTACTGCTCTAACATCCTACTTTTGAAAAGAGGGTGGGGGAACCATTTTATTCCTGCCTGAACTAAAAGGTTGTTCTGTGACTCCAATGAGATCAAGGATATGAAGGCTCCTTTATGAATAATTGCATGGGACGTAGTCTGCATTAGACAAGGAAGCCCACTCCCATCTATAAGCAACAATGTCTATAAGAGTTAGAATGCTTTTCCTTAACCTGAATCCAAATCTATGTCCTGGGAGTGTCCACCTTCTGGCCCTGGTGCTGACCTTCACGATCCTCCTTCCTAGGGCACAGTGCCAGCCGTCCTCATTCTCCCATCCCCCACTCAAGCCTGTTCTTATCCGGGCCAATCTTTCCCATTCCTTCATCTGTTTAACATGCCACATGGTTGCAAGGCCCCTACCCAGTCTAGCTGCTCTTCTTTGAACATGCTCCAAGTTACAAATGCCCGATGACATGGCCAAAAAAGGATTTCCAGCTATGCCCCTATAAATATCGTCCTGGATGGCTGACTTTCCCTCTTTTGGAAGCCCACGCCACACCCAAGGTACACACATACATAGTCATGAACACACCCATACATACACATTACCACACCCATGCATGCGCACATGCAAAGCCACAGACACACACACTTTACATGCATCACATACTTTCCACACACAGCACAATATATTCCCATCACATATGCCTGTACCACTCACAAATCCCATGCACGCGCCACACAGTTCACACAAAGACTTTATTGACATTGGAATTACTTTCAACTAAAGCTACCCTTTTATTAAAAAAAAAAGAAGAAGAAAAAGTAAACCCAAGTTCTTTTCGGAACGCCCATTGTGTATTTAGTTGGTTTTTGAACTCGAGTGCAGAGCCTTATATCTGCCCCTGCGTTTCCAGTCTGGTGAGACCTGTCTCCCAACATACCCCTGCAGCACACCACTGCCCACACCAGCTCTATTACTTATACAATAGCAGCTAATTTATGTGAAGTACGTTCCAGATGCTGGGCCCTTAGGCTCAGTTCTTTACATGTATGATCTTACTTAAGTCACACATCACTTTGAAATAAATAGTTAATCTTTGGGTATAATTTTTTGACCAGATAAGAGCCCACTTCATTGCACTCCCCCTGAGAAATAACTGTACAATGTGAAGGGTGGGACTTTTTGGGTAACTATTGATATTCTGTGGGGCTATAGTTGCCCTTGGTGCCCCCCCTTCAAATGCCTTTCAGAAATCCTCGGGTGTCAGAGGTGGGTGGGGGTAGGGGGAAAGCAGCTGGCTGCTGAGTTTGCAAAATGCAGGAGGTATCCTAAATGTTCCTTCACCCTTGTCCCCCTTGCCCAAGAGATAGTATGTCAGAGCAATTTTTGAGAGTGACAGTGGGCAGTGGGCAACTATATGAAGGCATTTGGGAGAGACGTCATTGAGGTCTGGAGGAATGGGGCCCCCAAAAGGCTTGTTTTCCCAGGGAAAGAGCACGATTGACCCACTTGAAATTCTCTCCCCAGTTCACTCTTGGCATTGGCTTTGGCCTCAAACAATCAGGCTTCTGTAAAGCAGCCAAAACTAAAGTTGAAGGGACCCTGGGGCCCACTTTACATACAAATTTGATCTTTTCTTGGAGATGGGACCCAATCGATTTGCTGAGGCCAATTCTGGTTGTGCTGCAGCAGAATCATTTTCCAGAACTGGGGAGAGATTGCCAATGAGACACCCCACTCCTCTGGCCAGGGTGTCAGACAAACACCTCCATTCACCAATGGCAGGACATCCCAAAGTTCCTTTGTGAATTACTTGTTGGCACCTCAAAGGACATTTCTACCTCGCAAAATAATGCTCTAGAGCTTAAGTTCCCAGGTTAGCCCACATTTTACCACCCTGAGGATGAAATGCAGAATCTGGGTGATGAAAGCCGGCAGAAAATACTACTCTTGCAAATGTACCTCCAGCAGTAGAGCAGACATTCATCAGGCTTAAATATCAAATGACTGAAAGCATATTGAGCATTGATAGAGCAGGAAACCTGAGGGTTCCTGAGGGTGATTATGGCAATCGTAAAAGCAACATCATTCCTGTTTTTCACACTTATCTACTAGGACAACCTAAATGTTCAACAATAGTGGAATGTAAATAAACTTTGTGACATATCCACTTGTTAGGTAGTATACAACCATAAAAATGGTGTTTATGAAGAATATGTAACAGCATGGAAAATGGTATTATCATAGCTGTGTCTAATATGTTTTTCTAAAAAACTGGAAGACAATTCAGCAATATGATAAAGTTAGAGATTCCAGTAAGGTAGTGGGATAATAGTTATTTTTTTCTCTGTTTTCCAAAGTTTGTATAAAATTTGTTCTTAAATACTCTTATAATTTAAAAAGGTTTTAAAAAGGAAAATTAAGGACCTAAGATACACAAACAACCTACACAGTGATCTAGATTCCCACTCTACATAGTTTAATCCAAGGACTTTTTTTTCTTCAAATTTTAGTTTAAATATAATGACTAGGTCAGGCCAGCCAAACATGATCTTCCCAGTGATTGCGAAATACCCACTAATACTGGGTGGGAAGAGACACAACTGGTTTGAATCCTAGGCCTGCTCTTAGAGTGTTGCTGTGAGAAAGTTACTTGATTTCTCTTAAAAGGATACATTTTATGCCTACAGTTTTGGGTTATAAATAAGGATGTCATTATATTAAATGTCTTCTATGGCTCAGGTATCAAAAGATGTGTTTTATTTTTTATTCACATGTTTGCCATTTGCAAATGCCAGTCACCCAACATAAACTATCTCATTTAACCATAACAGCTCTCTGGGGTATTATTATCTCTATTTTAAAGACAAAAGCTCAGAGAAGTTTAGTAACTTGTTCACTGTTACACAGTGGATAAGCAAGGATTGCAACCCCTTATGGTCTGACTTCAAAGCTTGAACAAGATTAAAAGAGATAAACATTTGCAAAGCTCCTAGCACTATGCTGACATACAGCAGACATTTCCTAGGTGGTCACTATGATGTTGTGAGTGATCCCTTGCCCAGGGTCCAGACTCTGGTCTTTGATCTATTTGATTACCTATAGATTCCCTTCTGTGAAAAGGTGCACATTTCAACTGGAAGATGCAATGCAAACACCACCTGTGTCCTAATAGCTGGGGCTCTGAGTCACTGGGAAAGGATTTCTGCTTCCTTCTGGCAGTATCATTTGTTCTCACATGTATCAGCAGAAGTAGGTAGATGGCATATTTGATGAGTCTTGGCAGCTACTGTCACTTCTCAGATACACTTCTTGAGAAATCACACGGCTTCCTCCGGATGGGCACCCAGTAAATACCCAGCAGCCGATAGGTGCCTGCTTAGTAAGGAAACTTAAGGGGTATGAGCCTATCCTGAACCCCTGCTCCACCT